AGAATCCTCTTCTACTCACTTTGGATATAATAGAATCTGAAGCAGTATGCTGTCCATTTTTCATTTCATTTTTCTCTCACGATGTGGACTTTCCTTACAATTTCTCTCTGTGATAAGAGGCTGGGATAAAACAAAAGCTGCTCATCTTATCCACAGGGGAACACAATCATTCTTCATGCAGTACGATGGAAGAATCCCATCGTTAATAAACACAGTTTATTGATGTGTGTGTATGAGTGTGTCACTCCTCTCTCTCCCCTTCCTGCTTTCTCTGTGTTTCACCTTTATCGGTGTTAAGTTTGTTTTGGATCTTCTCGCTCCACCAGGGGACCTATGATTTATGGGCTCATCTGTCAGCCATAATAAAGCAGTCTCTAATGAAGGCAGGGAAGGTGACCTTTGTGTGTATGTGTGGGTGTGTGCATGTGTGCATGTGTGCTTTCTTCCCAACATGCATCTTTGCATATGTGTACACTTTTACAAAGCTGACAAAGGCATGTGCTTCTGAGCTAAATGCTAAGCAATCAGTGATGAGCGTGCACATAGTCCTGAGAAGTCAGAGAGCAAAAAAGAAACTAAGTAATAACTGTCAGAGGAAACAACGTTCTGTTGCAGAAACCTGGAAGTGTTTGATGTAAAGGAACACGCTCACACAGCCCAACACTGCACCACAAACAAATGTAGGCCACATATTCCACAGGGAGCGGAGCGGCCATTGAGAGGACGAGCTTAACTTCCAGCTATCTGGCTAATACAATGCCAGGATAAGTGGTGCTGCGGACCATTATATGGGAAATATATCTGCAGAGTGGAGGCCAGCACAAGACTTTAATAACCTCACTGTTACTGGCTTATGCTTCATTATGATATCATTGAGCAGAGAAAGGAGCAACCAGGACAGAGAGAGAAATGGAGGCTTATAGAGGAGAAAACGAGGGGCTGGAGTTGAGGAAGGAGGAACCGACACAGGAGAAGAACAGCCGATTGAGAAAAACAGCACAAAAATGTCCGAACATGGAAATATCAAATCTCTAGAGCTGCTTCAGAGCCTGGCTCATGTTAGAATGGAACGGCAACGCTATGATCGCCTGCCACCTCTAATTACCTCACTCCACAATCTGAAAATATGATCAGTAAATAGTAATTAACACTCAGCCCCATGTTGAAAGAGTGTCTGATTTGTCACAAAGGATCTGTGAGTGGATCGATGTAACCTCGACAGGCTTTCTATAAGGGTTTCTGTACGAGCTGAAGAAGCTATAACATGTTCATGATGCTAACTGGGTCACTGAAAACACATCTCAAATCCCAGCACCAGGAGAGCAACGAAAATGCTGCTGCTGCCCTGAATCCCTGAGAATCTGACGATGCCGATGATGATGATTACAGTGGGTTAAAATAATACATCAGGTCAACTGAATGTCTAATGATTCACACTCGAAAATACGTAATTAGTTATTGCAAAACATCCTCTAACATTCAGATTCTTCTGTTTCTTTATCGGGTTTTGCTTAAAGAAATCCATCATTTTAAGGGGACTGATATTTATGTTATTTATTATTGTTATTATAGATTTGTATTATCAATTACTAAGATAGATAGATATCCCGTCATAAAAGCAAAGGTCCAAGCATTTGAAAAAGCAATGTGAATGAATGATGTCTCTTTTTTATAGAAAACTAAATCCAGGAACTACTCCACACTGCACTATAATACATGTTTTATTAACATCTACTACAGCCTGACAGCTTTTCCCAGAGTAGCAGCACCGTTAGTTTCAGCATCTCAGCGTGAGTCAGGGGGAGGCCCCTGGGCTGTAACGGGGGGGCTCCTGCCTCCTCTCATGGACGTACACTCTTTAATTTTAGCTCCTGACACAGTCCTCACACGGAGTTTCCTTGTTTAGTGGTAACACTTGAGATGATTATTTCGGTCTCCAGCCAAGAGTCAGTGCTGTGCTGCCACCACTTTGCTTCAGAGATATGTAATCACCCGTATTCTTAAACTGCACAGTGTCATGGGTTATATGCAATTATTCTTTATGGTGTCACTAACATTTGCACATTATAGAAACTAAAAATAGAACATTAATGGTGAAGTGAAATAACACAGGGTAACATTGCAAACATTGTTTCAGTGATGCATTAGGTGACATGTTCCTTCACTATGATAAATATGTTTATAGAGTCACTCCCACATCCAACAATCTGCTGCAGTGATACTCATTAGTGCAGCAAAAGTGTATTTATCCACTGATGAAAATAGTTCCCACTCAATGCACTATTTCTTCTGTTTTAATTAAGGTTGCTCAAAAACTACCGTTACAGCTGATTTGAGGATGTAAATTTCTAGAAATTATATTTATTGCATATACTACTGGTTTTTCTTCACAAATGCACTGATAAGGTCCCAGGCCAAATTCAATCCCAGAATTCCTCTGTTTCGTCTCTGTTCTACGCTGTGTGTGTCTCAGACCATTCGGTCAGAAGAGATGGATTTTCCCACATAAGAATACAGAGTGTGTCTATGTGTTGAAGTATCCAGTGTGGCGCTCACAGCTGAATACCCTTCTCTAACTATGGCAGTAGGTGGTATTTGTGCACGTGAAATCCATATCTGAGTTTCTTGTCATTGGAATAAATCTCCCTCTGTGCGAACCACCACCTGTGGTCAAATCTAATTTGCTCCTCCCAGTGAGTGGGGGGGTTATTAAAAATGAAATGCAGCTAATTAGGATGAAAGAGTAAGAATCAAGGTTTGTGACTTGGGCAAGGGGTTAGGGTCCAGAAATGAACAGAGTCATTGTGTGAAGGAGAAAGTGACCGAGGCAGGAGGGAGAGACACATCAGTACCCGAGGCAGAATATTATGAGAAGAGGCAGCAGGGGCACGAGTACCTCCAGAAACATTCACAACCTCTTAGTTCTGACACAAAGCTACTTATAATGGGACAGATATAAGTAAGTAAGTACCTGTGTGTGCTGATCCCAGAGGATCAAATAAGGTTTCAAGATTAGTCCTTCCAGTCTGTGTTGTTCTTTACAGGTTGTGACATTTCCCAGCACAGAGCCTACGAGTGCAGAGGACATGTCCCCTCCTGTTACCACCTCCTGACATTCACAGAAAGTGACAAGCTTGTTAAGATGATAACAGCAGTCGTGCAGAATCAGAGTTACGCCAGTCAGGACAGTAAATTCACATGGAAAGGATGCACTCTCCATCATATTCAATGGTGTGTGGTGTTTTAGTCAACGCAAAACCTTTTTTAAAATGAGTTATGATCATGTTATTCATAATTACACTGATCATAACTTGTACAGTTCACCTCAAAACTTCAATTGAATTAGCTTAGCAGATGATCATACACTGACATTTTGCTGAAATACATGTATTTGTCATACAGTATTGTGCCTATAGATCTGAATCTGGGAGTTATTTTCTATCAAATTAATCATTTTGCCTATATAACATCAGATTACAGTAAAAAATACACAAAACAATTTTAGCGCTCAAATTGATGACATCATCATTGATCTCTTGTCATCCTCAGGTTTAGAGACTCTCCTGTTCTCCTCTTATCCACACTTTCATAAAATAATAAACCCTGGTAATGACACCTCCAGAGTGTGTGGAGCTGAAATCTTACACACAATACAATACATGATAAAGAGTTTCCTCAGGTTAATGCAGATCCAACTAAAACTTTCAGGATCTAAGCTTCTCTCCACTGACTCAGCACTTCCTGCAAATGATCTGTTCCAGATCTTGTCTTTAATTCAGCGTCACACTTCCCCCAAACTGTACATCTTGTTCTTGGAAACATGCGTTCTTGGTGTTTCCTGCCCCTCACTGACCTATAAACTATTTCACGAGAATGTATTGATTGTTCTGTCTCTGCTTGACACAATCCTGGAGATCTTACATTCAGTGAAGCAATTCTGACTGTTTAGTAATGGACTGAAGGTCAGACATTCTTCTGAGAGTTTCAAGAATTTATCCTGCCATAAATTGTCCAGAAAACCTGAGTGAAGCAAGAAAATGTCGGGGGAAATTGACAGCAAGTTTTACTAACTTGCAATGGACGCGAAATTGGAAGAAACAACCAATAACGTTCCCGTGCACATATTTCTGCATAATTTCACTATGACCTTTGACCACTGAATCAAATCTCTTCATCTTTGAATTGTTGAAGTGACAACTGATCGAAAGTTAAAGAAATTCCCTCAAGTCTGTGTCGAGACAATTCATCACATTCAAGAGGCCAAGTTAATGATTTTAAGGCCACTTGACCTTTGACATGTGTCCCAAATTTGAAAGAATTCCCTTAAGATGTCACATTCACATTCAAAACATGTGTCTGAGAGGTCACAGTGACTTTGACCTTTGAATACCAGAATGTAATCAGTTAATCCTTGAGTCCAAGTGAATGTTTATGCCAAATTTGAAGAGATTCTCTCAAGGTATTCTTGAGATTGTCCAGAGTTCAATTCTGAAAAAAGGTTTGGATTCATGAATGCATCACTGACGAGGCCCAGAAACGTTCAAACGCAGGGGTGTTAGTTTCCCCGTCGAGGTAATGGTTGGAAGAAACGTCTTATTTGACATCACAAAACGTTGCATTAAGCTCAGCACTTATTTATCAGCACAGTCTACGACCTGCTGTATCTTCACTCTCTGATTCCTCCTGTTGCTCTCTCAACCCCTGACAGTTACCCTGGGCTTAAACACATCCACAAGCACCGTCTCTCCCTCTGTTACACTAAATATATGTCTTTTATTTCACTTCATGAGCTTTAATTTCTGAATAATCCCACTGTAATCAAACTTTTTTCAAATAACTCAAATGAAATATTCTTTAATTGACCCGAACCGTGATTCTGTCCTTGTTTCACGTGTCTGCCAAGACGTCAGAAATGAAGCATGTCCACTTAGTTTTTTGTTATTTTAATAGAAAACCAAAGAACAGCGATTCAACAGCGCATGTATGCATTCAGTCCCTCCTTTTTTTTGCACAACGTAATCACTTACTGAAAAATAAATGTGCATGAAAGAAAATACAGCAATCTTATAAATATAGGGCCCTAAAACACCTCAGAAACATATACCAAATGCACCAAATGTGATGAGATGTGGGTTTAATATATTTGCACAGATATTCTGACAGTAAGTAATAGGTCTATCCCATGATCAGTGCTGTGTAAGGTCTGCACTTCATTTTAGGTCTGCCATTGTCACTAATATACATGCGTTTCACTATTATTGCCTTTGTTTTTTAAAAACGGTTAGAAGTTCTCTCTTTTTTTAATAATATCTAGTTCTAGAAAATAAGTCTTGAGTTGTTCATTTAAATTTTCTATTTCCTACTTTCTTTGATCACAAACATCACAGATAGTTTGACTCTTTTTTTATGCTACAACATTCCGGTACACTCACTTACTTACGTACAGGGATCGTCACCCTGTTAATGTTTCACTTGGCATTGCAGTCATGACGAGGACAAACATTTTGACCTCTGGAAAAAGGGAGGAGGAGTCTGACATTGGCTGATCTCCGTGGCGTGCTACTCCAGCACGGCGGAGGGAGGGGGACGCACGCAGCAGTTGGGCCGCCTGACATTTTGCAGCATTGACCTGAAAATGTTCTGCTGCCTCCTTTTGTTCTTCTTGCCATGCCCCGGCGAGGCGGCGCCAGAGAATGACTTTCGGAAGGAGGTCTGGGCTACCAGTTTCCGCTCTTGCTCCTTGATTTTGCACTGCAAGTGGCTCTGGATGGCAAAACCAAGTGACTCAGGGTCCACCGACGCCCCGTAAACCTCCCAGGTCATCCCCTGTTCGTCCCACACCACATCATGGACGCCCTTCTCCTTCTGCTTTCCTGACTGGTCATCATCTTTTTTGCTTCTCTCTGGTTCTATCTTCTGTTTGCCAGAATTTGTCATGGCTTTACCTCCAACGACTTTGCCTCCAACAACTTTTCTCTTTTCTTTTGAGCTCTCAGCTTTATTTTTAGCTGGGTCTGCCTTGGATATGGTGTTTGCTGCTGTTTTTGTTGTGGGCGGGGCTTGGTCAGACTTGGTTGTGACAGCAGCCGGAGACGGTGCAGTTTTGTGACTGTCAGCAGATCCAGACTTGGAAGCGCCGGCTCTCTCCGGGGGCGTTCCTGATTTAAGAGAGGTAGCCTCAGCAGTGGTTGTTTTTGCTGCAGGTGTCTGAGCTGCAGGTTTACACTGGGAGTTACCCATCTCTCCCTGCTCCTTGTGCCTGCTGTGCTCGATGTTGATTTGATAAACTGGCTGTATGTTGCATGAAGCTGGTTCTTTAGGCTTCGCCCCCGGCCCTCCCCCTGCCTGCTGGGACGAGGAGTTAAACATGCCTGCATTTTGGTTGTGGCACATCTCTGCCTCGACCGTGAGCCTCTCTGACCTTGGATCAGTGGAGGCTGATAGAGAGGTCATGTTCATGTGATGGAGACCAACACACCCATCCCCCTGATAGACCACAGCCAGGCTCTGCGCCTCCTCCCTGGGGACTGCACCACTGCTTGGCCTGCGAGTCACAGCGAAAGGCAGCAGGCTCGGACTTGTGGCCACAGCCTTGCTGCACATGTTAGCCACCGCCTGAACCTCCATATCATGACACTGCTTGACTGGAGTGGACGACAGGGATGAGGTCATAGTCGAAGCCTCCCTGTAGAGTTTGCAGGGCGGCTGCTGCTGCTGCTGCCCTTCATAGACAGCTGTGTTAGCCTGGTTGGCTTCTTCAGTCACCCGCCCGTATGCCTGGGTGCTTTGCGTAGCCGGGGGCAGAGTGGAGGCGGCCGTCTGAGAGGAAGCTGGCTGATGTTTATCTGAGAAGATTTGTGGTTTCTTTTCTGGTTGCAAATCCCTCTCTGTAGGTGTTGAACTTAAATTATTATTTGCAGACCCGGCCTCTCCCTCTCTTCTCTGAGACAAAGGTGTCGCAGAGCTGAGCGTCGTTGTAGATTCCATGCTTCTCGTAGGTTGGGAAGTCTTTTGCAGACTGACAGAGCATTGTGAGGAACTCTGTATATGATCTTTAGATTTCTGTCCTGCAGCAATGTCCTTGCTTTGTGGAGCTGAAATACTCCCTGTATTATCCTGCTGGTGCACAGGTGCCGTTTGCCGTAACTCACAGGCAATGTTAAGATTTGTATTATTCGTCGAAACGCGTTTATTAATGTCCTCTTGTGCTGTGGATGTCGGTTTCACTTGCTCCTCCTTTGCCGCACTCGTCCCTTTTATTCTGCAGTCACTGGCCTGTGTGTCGAGCGTTGACGCTGCAACAGCAGATGGCACAGCAGCCTCACAGATACCCTTTTCATCACCCGGGCTTAACGTTTTCATGTTAGCGTTAGAATCCCTCCGGTCGCCTCCTGCCTCACCCACACCCCAGCCAGGTAGAGACAGGTCTGGCATCTGTTGGTCTGCGCCCGTCACATGCTCAGATTCTGTCTGGTTTCCATTGGCTGGAGGAGCTGGTTTGCTGCAGACTTGTTCGGCCCCTGTGGCAGCTGCTTTCTGGGTATGTGGGACGACGTTAGTGGGAGCAACGGTCACAGATGAGTTATCCTGTTTGTGGGCGGGAGATGTGACGATGGGTTTTGGACAAACCTGAGAGAAGTTTAGGTTGGGCTCTTTAGTCCAGTTGGCATTCGACTCCTTGTTGCCCAGCGTGTCCACCACAGCCAGCTGAGGCACCATCTGGACTGTCACTGTCCTTTTTGGGTTAGTACCCATGATGGATTCACTGTCTCAGTCTTTAAATATTGTCTTAATCCAAACTTGAAAGGTCGCTTTGTGTGAGTTCCTAAAAGAGGAGAATAGAAATGGATTTAGTTTGTGATTGAGCGTCACTTTCACTACTTTTACATCTTCACTTAAAATAATCACACAAGACTAGTTAGATGATCATTATGTTAGATGCACCTCACATTCCACATAGTTTCCAACATGCATGTGAATAATCTTTGTTAGAATAAAGAGTAAATCATCTTTGACATATGTAGGTTGAAAGTGTTTACAGATAAAGGACATTTTTGATTAAAAACCACGGGTGTTCCCCATTAACCAGAATTTCATCTGACCTGTCAAACCTGTCTGATGTCAGAACAGCTAATGCCAGGGGTGTCGCAACAGGGTAGGTGACACAGGAAATTGCCTGGGGTCCCAAGCTGACAGGCCCCCGCCCCCCCAAAAAACTCCTTGTTATTATAATTATTATGTTTGTGTAAAGCGATTCCAAGTCTGTGAGAACCTCTGTGATTGGTTATGTATGTTGAAGACTAGAACGTCTAAATGTGTGTGTATGATGTGCCTGGGACAGTGGTGGAGGTTTGCACTCTAACTTTATTTTACTATTATTCAGGTGTGTGTACTTAAAAAAAGTTGTAAGATTGTTATGATGTGGTTTGGTATCATGTGTGATTGGGTCCCTTTTGCCCGGGGCCCCCAAAGTCCCTTAAAACACTCCTGCCTGATGTATTTTTGCATGGCAGTATATCATCATCATCTTTTTTTTCATTTTCTGTTTCATTGCCTTTTCTATTGTATTTGTATTGTCTATTTAACTTATTTCATACTTTTGCATGTTCTCTTGTCTACCTCACTAACTATCTGCTTCTGTAACAAGGGAATTTCCTCAGCGTGAGATCAATAAAGTTTATTTTATCTTATCGTATCATATTTTATCTTATCTTATCTTTTTTCCTTGTATCGTATCTTGTCTTATCTTATCTAATCTTATTCTATCATATATTATGTTCTAAATCTCCCCTGAAGTTGTCTTAAATAAAGAATAATATGTGTTACCGTTAAGACTTCACATGTTCCAAGTTAACCTGTGAATCCCTCCATTTTTACTCATGGAATCTTTGCTGTCATGTCAGTTGACTTAGTATTTTCTCTGATGACTGGCTAAAAAAAAGAATTAGACGATGAAATGAAGGTGAACCCTAAAAGCATCCATAAATCATTCAAGTTTATCTCTTTTCTTAGTAAAGGGCCTTTTTGTGGAAAACAATCAGAAAACCTTTGATTTCCCATGAGACATGTCTTTAGATCTTCTCTTGTCCTGTGATCAATTTAGTCTTAAATCTAAGCAGTGATCTACACTTTTCACAAATCTCTTAATCCTGGGCCTGATGAATAACTCCCCCGTTGCCGTCTGTGTTAAAAGCACCTGCATGGGTCAATTCTCATAGTGAAATGTGCCGGCACTCAGCAGACGTCTGAAATATCTGATCGGCTGCGTGTCAGACAAATGAATTGCACGGTGATGGAGACTTTGATCACACACAGCAGCTCATAGACAAACAGAGAGGAGGCAGAGAGACGACGATGCACACTTCAGTCCATGATCCACGGAGGGAGGGAGAGAGAGAGAGAGAGAGAGAGAGAGAGAGAGAGAGAGAGAGAGAGAGCAGTTGGTCATTTCAGTTTTCAGTATTGATGATTATCCATTCTGCATAATGATCCTCCCCGAGAAAACAATCCAGCCTTATGTTGTGAGTTAAATTCATTCTGATACAACAACACAACAAGGCATACTGAAGGTTTTTGGGGAGATAAACAACAAGCACAACATATATTTCACATTAATCAGGACATATTTACATGTGGATTATTATAAAGAAAAGAAAAAAAAACACAGATCTTTCCTTTTGCATTTTCTAATGTGACAGGAGGAAAACACAGCAGCAGGCTCCTGTTTAGGATGTGTTGGACAGGTGTAGTCTATTTGTGTGTGTGCTTTGCATCTGCCTGTCTGTTGGCAAAGTGCAAATATTCATGGAAAGCATGTCCTGGCCACGATTAGATATTCTCCAGTTCAGATGCTGCTGTCTGGGCTTGTGTGCCTGCAGCAGTTTGAGGGAAATAACACGGAGCAGTGGATGCGGAGTGAATGCATAAAATCCAAGTGATGCACACACGACCTGTTAATGAGATCTTTGTCGTGGATTGCAGCTTCTACTTGCAGCTCCTGTCCCACCCTGACACCCCAGAGAGGCCACTGGGGTTTGCCTGTTTGATTTGACCTTGCGAATGGATCCGACACGAAGGAAGGATGGAGAGCATGGGTGCAGAGAAAAGAGGAGGGGGGGTCTTACCTTCAGAGGCGCTTTAATGTCCCATGTACACCGCGGGTTGTGCCGTTTGCGCGTCCGTGTCAGCGAGGCGAGGCTGGACCTGGGAATGAATATGGAAGAATCAGCCCTGTGTCGGTGACACCAAGAAGCCACGCCTTGTGCCACAATATCAGGGGTATCGATCCCGCACAGCAGAACGCGTAAAAATGCAAGTGCCGCGACGGACTGACCGTGCGCAATGACTCATCCCAGCATCCGACCGACTCACGGCCGCTGCTGCTGCTGTTGCTGCTGGGGCTCTGTCAGCGATACCTCACGGTTAGAATAAAAAAGTGCACCTTTCACAAAATGGACCTTGGTTCATGCAGGCAGCAGCGTGGTGGTGCAGCAGAGTAAAGGGTAAAGGGAAGCAGATGAATGGATGAACGCAGGAGCAGAGAGGATGAGAGAGAGGAGGCAGAGGAGGGTCACACACTCATTACTTTTAAATCCCACTGCCTTTACTGGAATAATCCATGACGATGGATGGTTTGTTTTTTGCTCTGTCATTTTGAAATCATTCAAAAATGGATTTGTTGTGTGATGTCTTTGTGTCATTATACGCACCCAGGTCTCCCAGAGGTGCAGCTGGCTTTCATTTGATACCCAACAGATGACCTGAAGACTCACCAACATATTTTACATTTTCTCTGAGGGTGACAGAGAAGTTGCCATAAAAAGGAATTTCTTAATAAGATTTCAGAGAACTAGAAATAGGCAACTCCTGTGTTACCACTGCAGACAATCTGCATTTTCTTTCTGTGTGATTACTAATTGTTGATGATATGAGAGATCAATCATACACTGATCCACAAAATTACGATCAATATATCTGATTTTTGGCCCTAGATCGAAAAACCTCCTGAATCTCTGTTGTGCTGTTGTCGGTGTCTTCTACATGTATTGCAGCTCTTTTTCATCCTGAGATGTTTGTATTGTGTTTGTTTTTTGCTTTTCAGTTTTCATTCCTGGTGTATTCTCATTCTCACACTGACATTTTACTCAGGAGCTGGCAGGAAAAGCTCCAGAGAATGTCCGCAGCAACCAACCCGGACATTTGCTTTGTCACATACAGAACCTCCAGAAAAGTCTCAAAGCATCATGTCATTAAATCTGATGATTTGGTCGTAAATATTGTATCTTGCTTTGGTTACGCGCTTGCTCAAAATTATATGGTGCTTTCACTGGTCCTGTTGGGCCTCACCAGCTCATGGCCACCCCATGGACACGCCCCTGTAGGTAGAAAAGCTGGAAAAGTGACAACAACACACGTCCAGTATAAAAACTCAGTGATCAGGTTTTATCACTTTCCATCTTTCCTGCGGTGCCATAAAATTGATAGTGTCAGTGCTGCTATAATTTCATTTAATAGCACCATTGAAGCAAACCTCCTTGCTCGTCTTGAGATGATCTCTCAGACGCTTATGATGATCTAAGCAGTTACTTCTGGGAGTTTTCAAATATAGTGTGTCTGAGGAATGCAGGAGTTGTATGCGGTAGACCTCCTGCCATTAAAGCCAAGAGGGACTGATTAGTTGAGAAGGTAGGCCGCGTCTTAATTACAGAGGAGTGCACCAGTGGAGAGCGACTCCAACACAAGCCTCATGCATCGCTGGTGTGCCAGACTAGTGCTTCAGGGTGAAGGCTGGCTGCCAGAGTGGAGAGTGGAGCAGTGACAGAGACTGAACTTAATTCAACTGTAAGTATCGTCTGTTGCCTCCATTTTAAACAATAGCTGGATACAAAGACACAAAGTGTATAACTTTCTATTATAAAAGAAATAATCTGAAATGGATTTAATGGAACACATATGTTCATATTGTGGATCTGGCATCATCTTGTGGTTAATTTGTGAAAAGCAAAAGCGTGGCTGGTCTGGATTATATTAAACCAAACTGATCTGAAGACAATAAATATCTTAAACAAAAGTACTGTCAGAAGTATTTTTCTCTCTTATGAGGACTTAATGTCATAATGTGTGTGGGTCCAAACCAAAGGGTTTAGCAGATTCAGTTCAGCTATGGGCCAGTTAGTTCAACATGGTTCAATGGGGATCAACTTGGTTGTACAGGCCCTATGGAGATGCAGATCTATATATTGTCAATTCATTTTTGGAATTATTACCCTGTTACACTGTGTTAGTTACAAAAACCATATCTTCCCTGTAGTGGCCTTGCTTCATTGATTATCTGTGAATTGCAGGATTGATTTAAAAAATGTTTAATTTAATTAAAGTCACCAGGTAACAGCTCAAGAAGACCACATCATTTGATCGAGCTCCAAACTCCTCAGATCTGCTGAGCAGGTTTCTCTGCACTCCATGTCCTCAAAATCAAATGTAATAGATTATTCTGGGTTCTCCACAGTTAAACGTGAACAGTTTCATTTGCAATTAATAATCATCCTGCTGCACCCAGCTGCTCCACCTCTCACCTGAATAACAGAGGAGTTGTCGCTGTTGTGAATGCGTCTGTGCAGAGAACCTCCTGCTGCGTTGTGCATGTGTGAAAGGTGAACTCAGGGTAAACTCTGTAGCCAACTCTCCAGATTTTACCAAGAGGTCGTGTCTGAAAACTGCTTTAGAGGAAAAGCTGCACATAGATGCACTGTATGAATGGCAAAACTGCAGAAGACTAAATAAGAGTTATACAAATCTATAATTATGAAAATGGTTTGATGCAAATTGTGAAAAAAAAGAAAAAAAGAAAGGGCCACAGATCTCCTCCCATCAGTGCAGACCTGTGTAGACTGCAGTACGGCAGATGGCCGGTGGATGGCGCTGGAGTAGCGTTCAAAGGTTTAAAGCTCAGACAGACATTGACGCGGCTGGCGTGTGCTCCGTTCAAAGACATTACGTTACTTATAGTTTCAAGGTAAATGTAACATGTTTCTCTATTTTTGGCAGAAGCTTCAAACTCTCATTATCTCCTGGTCAAACAGGTATTCACATTTAACTATTAAAGGTGAGGGTGTGAGGATTCCTGGCATATCAAGAGCTAGCATTAGAACTGCTACAGGGTCATCCTCGGCTAATGTAGCCTTAGCATTGGACCGGCTACGTGTCCAGTGTGACCGTGAACGCACCAGAGCCTGATGTCAAGAGCCACGCTGAGGACTTCGCTGCTGATCGCGTTAAAGTGAAGCTAACTTTGGGTTTATCTTTGTGTGACAGTGTTGTCTCTGCGACATCACGGTAAGATCAACTCCATCTTAATGCCAAACACCATCAAACACACCAATGCTAACGACGTAACCTAATAATCCAGGCTAACGCTACGCGGCTAGCTAACAGTCATCGAATAACAAACAACCTGTTGTCTCAACCTGTCATCTCGGAGCTAGAAGCTGATAAACACACGTGATTAGCTAGTGGTGTGTTAGCTTTAATAAAATAAACAGTGTCCTGGTCGATTCCCCTGCACGCGCTACATCTCTGTGAACTGAATGGTCACGTTTGTCTCGAAGTTAGCATTAGCATTGATGCTAGCTGCCATTGTTTGGGTTTTGGTTATGAGCGAAGTGGCGTCTCTTGTGTATTTGTAGTTTTTAATGGAGACGAACTGCTTCTGCTGTGTCACTGTGATGGTTGAGATGATGCAGAAAGAGTCGAGTCAGCATCATTTACAATGATGACGCTGGGGAAAAGTTCTTCGAGTGCAGAGCTGCATCTAAGTGCAGTTTGTATGTACTTGTACTTTACTTGAGTGTTTACATGTACTGCAAGATCAGACAGCTTAGTTTGTGTAGTGAGTAGATCTACTGTCCTTTACATTTGCGTTTAGTACATCACTGAGCAATAAATATAGATGTACAAGTATTTAGTACCCAACTCATGTGACAGACACTATTCACACTGTGATAACACCCTGAACTGGAATGAGAAGAAGGGCTCACAATGATTATCACAATAAAGGTTGCATCAATAGCAATATAACAAGTTTAATAAGGTTTTACTGTTTGAAACCACAACCTTCACTCAGTAGCAACAATCAATGCAGACAGTTATCATGACAAATGTTAAAATGAGCATTAGATGTCGTATTGGACTGTCAGATGTTTCTTATTTAATCCCTTCATGTGATTGATGTTGTTGCATGTTTTGTGTTGTAGAAAATGTTTGGGTATGTGTGGCAGTACGTCTACACATCCTTCCTGAGGTACTGGCTGAAGTGGCTCGTCAGACAGGCGACGGGGAAATGTGAGCTGCAGAGAATATGCTCCAGATACAAGCCGGGGGCTACAAGGACAACGAAAGCAGGTGATTTAAATCAACCATAATCTAGTCTGCCTCTGTTGCTGAGTATACATTCTCTCATTACATTCATCTCTTATGTGCCCTATTGTAGAATACTCCCTGCGGTCTTCTAGGAGCAAGGTAAGAGAATTGTAACCTGGCTGTTTTTACTTTCTGATATGCAAATGCCAGGGTCAACTTCAGTAGTTGTTGGTCAACAACAGCTTTCACTATGATGATTTATATCATTTAAGTTTAAAATTTCTTCATATAGCTGTTGAACTATACTCCAATAAAAATCACTGATGGAAAAACGTTTTGATCATGACGTTCCACAAAATCATCAGTTTAATAAGATTTACTGCTAGTATTTAAAAAAAAAAAAAAAAAAACGATGTGATGTGTACTTTGACTTTAAAGCTTGGTCCATGTCCCATCCACTAACATGAAGAGGGCAGGTTTATGACCTATACTACAGCCCTCCACCAGGGGGTGATCAACTATGGGCGATCACAGGCCTTTGCTTTACTACTGACCTCTTTATTATCTTTTAGATGGGAAACCCAGTTAAGACTCATACTGTGAACTTAATCAGTCTTTATCTTTCACTACACTTGCCAAGCATTGATGAGTTGACCCTGCTTGTCATTTATGTTTATAGCGAGGTAAGCATTTTCTAATCAGCAGTGTGGAAGCAGAAGTGCTGGGTCATCTACTTCATTGTTTCCGAGGTTGACTTTTTTTTCCCCCTGTGGTTGACAGCGTAGATTATACAGCAGCCACGGTGCCGCTGTTTTATTTGCCTGGTGGCTTTTTATATCGTTTTATTTCTGTGATCTTCCCCTCACTGCCCCCTGCTTTCTTTCCCTATAGGTTTTAAGAGGAGCGTTAGAAAGCAGCAAGGATAACTCAGAAATATGTGTGGATCAAATTATGAAAGAGAAGAATGTCAAACCCCAGAAAGATCCCCTGTAAGTTTATGACTCATCTCCTAGTTTGAATTTGTCACCTGTATTTCTTCCAATTTTCATCCTATTCAGTAAAGTGTGTTTTTTTGATTAAACGATTTTTTATTGGATACCTCTCTAGGTTCAAGCAGAGCCTGCACACCTGTGTGTTACAGATAACAGGATACGGCGGTTTGTATACATCTGTGGAAGACTTGAGAAAGGAGGTTTTCAGCTCGGACAATGCAGAACACGAGGCAATGCTCTTGAAGGTATGAGTTCCTGCTTCTGGATCTATACATTAAAAAGAGGGCAGTTGCTGTATCTGTTTTAGCGGCGTGGATAGTCTTCCACACAACAAACTAGAACTGCGGCCAGTTACTGGATCCACCTGTTATTCCAGATCCGCCACAAAATTACATGGACCTTGTTTCAGTAGTTTTTGTGTAACCATTTAATTTAGCTGATGCTCTAGAAAATCCCAATGATCGTATTTGTTTTTTACAAGCATAGACTTAAATTGCAGTTTATTTCATTGTATGCACAAAATCAGACTTGGAATCACTATACCCGTGACTAAGTACAGAGCCAATTAAATATATGTATGCTGTAAATATTTGTCCCCTCAGTTGTGGGACCTGTTGATGCCAACAGTCAAGCTGGAATCAAGATTAACCAAACAGTGGGGAGACATCGGATTCCAAGGAGATGACCCCAAGACCGACTTCAGAGGAATGGGCTTACTGGGACTTATCAACCTCGTGTGAGTACTCAACAAATAGCAATGAGATAAACTGAAAAACAAAAAGGGACAGTTCATGCCAATACTGACCTTAACGAAAGGAATGTCAGATAGGAATCAGCTGGAACACTATCAACAAAGCAGTTTTTGACCTAATACCACTCATGTTGACCAGACTCAGGCTCCGAGGAGTAAATAATTAAAAGAAAAACAATACAACAAAACAAGCCGAGCTGGCTTTGCTGCAGGAGCCTGAAAAAGAAATCCTGAATTGGCAAGAAAGTCAACTAGACTCATACATACTTATAACCTACATGTTACTGCAGCAAAGATAATTTCACATACACTATATAGAGCTTATAACATATGAAAAGTAAATTTGAGTCCAAACACATTTTACATCATCTCCTCTAAACCTCTCTACCTTCTTTGATTGTAAAAAACAAAGCTGTGTTTTCAAGCCTTGTTGCATTAGTGTGTAAAAATTAAACTGGACACATCCAGTTTACAGTGACACGTCACAGATCCCTGTCAATAATTCATCTGCTGATACTGAATGCAGTAACTCTCAAAACTGTATTTCAGTTTCAATGCCTGACTGAAATATACCCCTGACACTTACATAATACTGAAATCATGAAAATACAGATGTAATCATTATCAGAGCAAGCACTGACTCAGAGAAACAATTGTTATCTTAGTTAACATGTATTTGTGCACATTAACTTGTTTATACACTTCTATCCGTAAGCAATAATGATCCTGTAATGTTTTTGCTATTTGCAGTTTTTTCAGTGAAAACCACACAGAAGAGGCTCGACAGGTGTTGTCTCACGCAAACCATCCTAAACTAGGGTAAGACACATTTATATACAAACCTTTTTCCATTGTGTGAGTTTAATCTACAATCACTGTCTTCTTTTAGCTCTTCGTGTGCAGTGGACTGTCACTCATTTTTAAGGTGTATTTCAGGTATTCATATGCCATAGTTGGGATCAACCTGACAGAGATGGCCTACAGCCTCCTGAAGAGTGGTGCTTTGAAACCACATTTCTACAACACAGTCCAGGGCCCACCAGAGCTCCAGCACTTCCATCAGCTGTACTGTGAGTAGACTTGGCATTGTTCTTTATTATATACACCTCTGATTCATTTGTCTTTTCCTCATTTTCGTCTTCTTTTTTTACCATGAACTCTCTGACCGTATGTGTCTTCTCTTCTAGGTTACCTGGCGTATGAATTTGACAAGTTCTGGGTGTTAGAAGAGCCAGAAAGCATCATGCAGTTCAATCAGTACAGGGAAAAATTCCATAACGTAGTCAGGACACATCTACAGGACCCTGATGTGTCCCTTACATTGGCTGTCCATTCTAAAAACTAAGATAAACAAATGACTGAAGTGGATTAACCATGCCCCACCTGAACTCTCCACAGCCCCTGACATTGTTTCGTCACTTACAGGACGGTTCAGTGGAAGCAATGATAAACATTACAATGTAAAGGCAGACTGAAACTCACCTGGTCCTCCTCAGAAACTCAGACTAATCCTCTGACATTGGGTTTTATGATTCTATACTTCTGGTCTTGTTATAGTCAAACTTCACAGTTTTAAAGTAGAGCACAAATCTACCACCCTATACCTCAGAAGGTTTCAGTGTCTTTCAAAAAGGGGAAAGGAGAGCTGCCGTTTGTCGAAGCACTTTCAGTAAGCAGACATCCAAATAGTTTGTGTTACAGTTGTTGAAAAACTGTGATTAGCCACCATGTTTTTAGCTGTCTCGTTTGTATTTGTTCTCACGATTGTCCTGCTCAGGAATTTGATATTTATGACCACGACTGAAACTTCTCTAATTCCATTGTGGCGTTCTCATCTTGTTTAACATCCCCGTTGATACCATTAACAGCATCTGGGTTATGTGATAATGATGTGAAACTCAAAATTGTTCTTTTCATAAATTTGAATATTTGAAGACTGATATTGCATTTTCATTTCTAGCCCTTGCTGTGATTGGCTTTTAGGGGGAAGTCATGTAACGATTAACACACCTAACTCGAAACCAATAAATACACATTTTGATGTTTTGAAATGGGTTTCATGTCCAAGTTTAAAAACAAAATACAATAGACTGTCTGTAAAACATGTCAAATATATTCAGAACTTTCAAAAAGACGCTTTACAATTTATTATTTTGAACAGGAAGGTGCACTGCTTTAAGCTGCCTCAAATGTTTAACTGGCAGATTTAAATGTTCAGATCTTAAAGGGGAATTCTGGTATTTCTCAGCCTGTGATCGTGTTATTGATTCAGACTTTTTGGAATCGCCCCTGTAGCAGCTGCGAAACAGCAGCAGTGGCTACAATGTAATCCTATGGGGCAACTGTGTCAGTCCACAAAATATCCACTAAAAGTGCTTTTTAATTCACCAATAACTGGCTCAAATTCTTATTCTGGGTCTTTGCTCAGAGTCTGGTGACAACAAGGAAAATACCAGAATCCCCTTTGAAGTGCAAACTCATTTGACCGAATGAGGTCATTACACATAAAGTCAAATACAAGGTAGCTTGTCCATTTCTCTTCTTTCAGCAAAGGACGGTTTTCTTTGTCACCACGGAAAGAATTGATATTCTTTATTTTCCTTCATCCTGTGGTGCTTCAGGTTTGTCAGCCAAATGTTTAGGTACAAAAATCTCAATTTGGGTCCTCGATCCTCTTCTTGGTGACCATCATGGCTCTCTTGATTTGTTCGAATGTCACAAACATCACAACGTTCCACGATCCCAGCCTCAGAAACGAGAGTACAAACCTGCACCGAAACATACAAGAGGTCAGAGGTGTGTAGTAAAGACCTACGGGTGAAATACAACAAATGAACGTGTGCTGGGGTCAGACACGAAGAACCTACCCTTTGTAGAAAGCTGTGGGCCCCTCTTTGGTCATCATGGTCCAGGCACAGTTGATCGCACTCTTGTACTGGCCCTGCGGTGAGTTCATGTACCTGGTCTTTACCACATCCACTGGGGAGGCGATCACCGTGGTAACAAAGCCGGCGCCGAACGCAGATACAAAGTGACAGGGCAGATTGTCTGTGGAGAGAGTCGAGGGCCAAACAGGTGAAACATGGCAGCAGCTGCGAGGCCTTTGTTCTGAGCCCTATAGAAAGTGCTGTCAGCAGATTATGTATTGTGAGAGGGGTAATATAAACCATAGAGATAAATGTTTTATTAACGACTGTATTTACAGCAGTGGAGGGAGAACACACCATGTACCTGCACGTGTGCTGTTATCAGCTGTGGAGGAGTTGAAGGGTTGATAGGGGGTGTGGAGTTCTGCCCAATCAGCTTTGTCCCATGTGTGTGTGTGTCAGTTGCGTGCGTGTGTCAGTTGCTCAGACACACATGCTTTCTTACCTGACATCAGTTTACGTTTAAGAATGGCCTCTTTGATCAGGTCGTATGTCACCAGCTCTGTGCAGTTGACCAGTGCGTTTCTTGTGATGTTGGGTAGCGTGCCTACAGAGGCCAGAAAAGAAGAAACGCTGGTATTTAACTAAAGGAATTCTGGGTGTTAACTTTATGGCAGATCAGATCCAACCTTGTGACACATATCACAGCATGCTCTCTAAATGGCACCTTTCCAGAGTCCGCGTATGCCCTCATTCTGGAAGATGTGCTTGTAGGCCTGCATGGTGCCATTGTAGCGGCGAGCCACACCGTCCAGGTTCATCTGGGCTTGGAATCGAACCTTGACCACATCGGTGGGTTGCGCAAAAGACACTGCCATCGCGCCTGTGGTGCAGCCAGCGAGGATGCGTATCAGCACACCTGCGTCTGTGGAAGATCAATCACACGTCAGGAGGCATTTTAGTTTCAGTATCTTGCCCAAGGAAACAGCTGCTGTTGCACATCTGTCTGTGGTACAGGATGGATCCTTTCCCTTGTTTTTTCTCTTTCAAAGAGGTTTTCTGATAAATGTAGTTTTAAAGATGTGGATGTGGTGTACGTTGATGTTGCTATGGCCCCTTTAAACATGGATTTATGCATGCATCATTACAGGAGTGCATCACTTACTGTCTTTTCCGCCTGTGTAGAAATTTTTGACATTGTCGTAGAGGCCGATCCTGACGGAGGCGAAGCACACTTGCCTCTGCAGACCAGCGACCAGCCCGTTGTACAAAGACTTGGGGCCCTCCGTTCGGACCATGGTGGCTATTGTGCCAAACACCCCTCTGTAACGGATGCCTTCCACCGCTTTCTTCTCCCCCTGAATCTGAGGTCAGATCATACTCAGGTTTAAAACCAGCCCAACAGAATGGAGGCAGAAAACCTACAGACTAAACTGTGCATGTGTCAGTGGTTCAGAGGTATTGAGATAGACAAAGACTGAAGCTGCTCAAACAACATTACACTGTGTTTCCAAGTTGATTTCAGTATATGTGAAGGAAACATGATGCCAGAGATTAATGATTTATTTTCGGAGCAGATACCTGTAGTCTGACTTTGGCTGTGTCCAGAGGAAATGTGCAAATGTCAGCTATGCAGGCGGCTAATCCAGCGCTCGACATCTTCACCCCCAGTGGAGGGGGAACATCTGAGGGTTTGAGTCCTACCATGTCTGCTGCTGCACACACACGAGGAAAGAAAATCCCATCAGTGTTTTGCACAATAAAAACTTAACCTCACATTCTAATCCTTCATCGTTTAAACAGGAATCTCAGTAAATGATAATATATTTTAAAGTGAAAGTAGATTAATGATACATTTTAAACAAACTTACATTGTGTTGAATTTAAGTTTCCTCCTTTTGATCCTCAGGTTGTTCCAGCTGCAGAAGTTGACCGGCCGGAATATAATCCACAATCCCTCTCCATGAGAAAGAAGGAATCTTTTACCTCTGTATTTATATATTTTCTTGCAGCCCTTTTTTTTATGACATCCCCAGAGAGGCGTTACTATACTCGTGCACCCGGGTCAAATCAAAGTCCACTGACTGTCAGAAAGTCAATGTTCAGATTACCCCACACTGCAGCCTCTTTTCAGAAAAACAACTATTTCACTTTGCTGTTCTGAGCCTGCAGCAACAGTCTCCTTTCATCTGAGCCTTTAAATAGTAATCATTTTAAATTGAGAGTATCAGTGGATTTTCCCTCTGTCCTGTGTCTATCGCTTAATATTAAAGGACCAGATGAAAATGCAAAATGAAAGCTGAGCTGCTGAATCAGGCTGAAAATGTAAAAAGCACAGGCCAAGATCAAATGGATGTTCAGTTTTCATTCCGCCAAATGAAAGGAATGTGATGATTGATGATACCAAAGAATGAATTATTATAGTGTGTCTGCTGTACCGCTATAATTAGTTATTTCATTAGATGAGTGCCTGCTCTTAACAGTCATAACGACACACCACCAGTCAGGTTCATCAGGGGGTCATCTCTGCTCTGAGCAAATGACTGAGCAGATTAATGACTGGGAAAGTGTTGGAGCTGATTGGCTAAACGACAACCACTGTACAGTTGAATATTCTGTCCATAAAGCTTAAGGTTTTGTGGTAGATGTGTTGTATTATGCAATATGTGCCGGTATTTATTATTATTACTGTGATGTTTTATAAATAAAACATCACAGTATGACATCTCAAAGTTTTTGGGGGAGGCGAAGACAGATTTTTAGAAGAGCAGCTCAGGGGGGAGGTGGGAAAGTTGTGACGTGAGCTGCTGACCAAAGGTCAACGTGGAGCAAATAAGAACTTTGCATGTTTGCCTCTCAGCAGTTTGTCAGCAGCCTTGACTATTTCATAATACTCTGAATCCAACCTTACACCGTGGGCAATGGGGATTGTGGGAAAATTTGATTTTGGGAAAACGTAACATGCAAATTATAAAATTCATTCAGTTTAAAGTTGTTATATTTCTGTCTTGCAATAAATTGCAGTGTTTCAGAGAGGAGCTGTTGAACTGCTTCACTTCTAATAT